GATCGGCACTTAAGCCCCAACTCTGTTCTCCCAAGGAAAAGAGAAATCTCAAATCTCAACGGTTATCCTCAGGCAACAAGCAGTCTAGTGACAGAGACGGATATGAACAGTATAAGCAAGAACAAAAAGTAGGCGTACCCAAACTGTGGCCAGAGGGGCTAGGATTGTCGGTGTGATTCAAATCCGGGGTTAGTCAGGGATGATAGGAAAGATTTTTGAGGAGACAGTGACTCTTTTCTCCGTATTTGGAAGGCTGTCTGCAAACTCCAAGAATGATTCCTAAACAAATGCGAGACATGTCCGGAATATGTCACAGCTGTGTTACATTATCCGACAAAGGTTGACCTGCTTTGAACTTCGTTCCCTTACCGTTTGAGTACTCAATTTTGAGAGAAATATCCTTTCTTCTCCTACCAGTAGAGACATTGGGGATAGTTGTAGGCAAGGCCGGCCTTTCACAATGAACCTCTGGTATCCAAATTCTAGGGGCATCTGTAGGCCCTCCTAACCTAAAAGTCTGCCCTGCCAGCCTGCGTCAGATGCCCACAGGTTTCTGAGCTGTGACGTTATGCTTTGTTTAATGCAAGCACCCTTGGTAAATAATCTAGGAAGCTTTTTTTTAAGAGTATAGAGTGCAATATAAGAATCAACCAATGCATACAGAAATAAATAGAGTAACAAGTTGATGTTTCTCTCCCTCTCTCTCAAATCAGTTTTAAAACATTTTTAGTTAAAAAAAAAATGATAGTGCAGGATCGATCTGAACCCTTTTACCTAATTGCTAACCATGAGCAAATTCAAGGGAGAAGGAGCCCCCATCTCCTTCCTCCCTACCCCCCAGGCTTTAGAAGCTCCCCACCCTTCTCACTGTACAGTTCTGGGTGAGGGACATGGGAGCCAGGGCAGCATCAGGACATTTCATGTCTGGTCCCAAAAGAATGGCAAACACCAGCTCTGCCAAGAGTTTACTTTATCTGGAACATTTTACAGGGGGTTTGAGGTTATCTATTCCTTTAATCTCCAGGATTAGTATCTGTGCCCTGGCCGGCAGGTTCCCCCAGGACATCAAAAGTGCTTGGCTGAAATGTTGGGAGCACCTAGAACCTCATATACTACAGACGGGAGTGTAGATTGGTACTACCACTTTGTTGTGTGTGTATTTTTTAATATATTTTTATTAGTATCAGAGAGGGAGGGAGAGGGAGAGAGAGATAGAAGCATCAATGATGAGAGAGAATCACCAATAGGCCGCCTCCTGCACGCCCCCTACTGGGGATCGCACCCGCAACCTGGGCATGTGTCCTGACCAGAATGGATCCTTCAGTCTGCAGGCCAACACTCTATCCCCTGAACCAAACCAGCTAGGGCATGGTACAACCACTTTGGAAACAATTTGGCAAAAATCTAGTAAATCAGAAAACAGGCATCAGAAATTCCTTGCCTAAAAATATAAATCCAAAGACGACATGTCCAGAATGTTCATAGCAGCACTATTCATAACAGCCCCAAACGGCAAACTACCTAACGGCCACTCAATTGTGGTGTGTTCACACAATGGAAAGCAATCTCACAGTCACACTGGGAGCAAAAGAAACAGTCACAAAACACTGTGTACTGAGTGATTCCATCGAGTAAAAGCACAAAACCCCACAAAATTACTCGATGATGTTAGAAATCAGGATAGTGGGTACCCTTGAAGGGAGTGGTGACTAGAAGGAAACTTGGTAGAATGGAGGCGGGTGCTTTGGGGTGCAGGTCAAATGCTCTGCTTCTAGATCTGGATGCTGGTTTCATAGGTGTGTTCAGTTTGTGAAAATTCGTCAAGAAGTATAATTATGATATACTAGTACACCTACTACAGTGCATGTGAATAAACAAAGTTGTGGGGTGTTTTTTTTAAGTGTTTTCTTAAAAGTGTGACCATTTTCAAGGTATTTGGAAGCTCTCCATGTGAGGAGGATCCCAAACATCAGGATTTTACCTAGACAGAAAGGGGGCTGGGCTTGTGAGCGTGTGGAGAGAGTGTCCCTAAGGCCTGGATGTAGCTATCCCTAATCTCGGAGAAGGCAGAGAAGAGGAGGGGCGGGTTGTTTATCTGCAGCCTGTACTGAGACAGTTTGTCCCTGAAGGACAGTGCGTCTGCCCAGAAGCCCTTCTCCAGCGAAGTACAGATGAGCAAACAGCATCCTATCCCTGTTCCTCACAGCAGGGTACTTCCTCCTGGGCTAGAACATCTGCGCTGATTGGTTGGTGGGTTTATGGTGTATCTTTTTCTGGCTGCCTTTCCAAAATGCTTGGAGCTGTCTGTGCTGGAGAAAGTTGGCTTTCTCACCCCTCCCATCCTATCATCTACTCTGCAAGTGTCTGAACCCAGACCGGAGGGCAGAGCCAAGCTGTTTACTTGTCCACAGGCCTTTGATCAGAAAATAAAGAACTATACCGCCCATGTATCCACAGGTGAAGCAAATCATGGAGGAGGCTGTCACCAGGAAGTTTGTGCATGAAGATAGCAGCCACATCATTGCTCTGTGTGGTAAGTGAGTGACTGGGAGATAGTGGGAGACGGGTCTAAAATTGAAGGCACTGTCCTGGGGTCAGGGAAAGATGAGACCTCAGGTTTCATAGTTTTGGTTTTGTTTTTTTTTAATATATTTTATTGATTTTTTACAGAGAGGAAGGGAGAGAGATAGTTAGAAACATCGATGAGAGAGAAACATCGATCAGCTGCCTCCTGCACATCTCCCACTGGGGATATGCCCGCAACCAAGGTACATGCCCCCGACCGGAATCGAACCTGGGACCTTTCAGTCCGCAGGCTGATGCTCTATCCACTGAGCCAAACCGGCTTCAGCAGGTTTCATAGTTTTAAAATCTGGGGGCAAGTCAGAATCGACTCAGAAGCTCTTGCAGTCTCCTTGGGCCCCATCCCAAACCTCCTGAATCAAGAGCTTCAGGACCCAGAGATCTATACTTGCTTAGTCCCCTAAAACAGTAGTATTCAAACTTTGGTATACATCAGTGTCCTAAAAGACTGGTTTGGCTCAGTGGATAGAGCATTGGCCTGAGGACGGAAGGGTCCCAGGTTCGATTCCGGCCAAGGGTACATGCCTGGGTTGCGGGCCCCATCCCAGTGGGGGGTGTGCAGGAGGCAGATTGATGTTTCTGTCTCTCTCTCCCTCTCCCTTCCTCTCTGAAATCAATAAAAGTATATTTTTAAAAAACACCCAGATTCCTGGGCCCCAACATTGGAGTTTCTGATTCAGGTAGGTCTGGATGGGCCTGAGAATTTGCATTTCTAACAAACTCACAGATGATGCTGCAGGTCCAAGGACCACACTTCAAGAGCCATTGTCCTAGATAATTTGGGTTTGGGGACCACTGCTCTGGTTTGTCCTTACGTTAACTTTGGGGATGCATTTGTACTTTTTGGATGCTTTCTGTGCCACATCTACTTTCTAATTAGTCCCACCTGTGTTGCTTCAGCATCCCAAATCTCCAAGTACTTGACTGGGTGCAAAACAGCATGCGTGTGGGATCGGAGGGATAGCCAACGCTATCTGTGATGGTTTATTGCAGACTTTCTCCCGCTTTAAAAGGAAGTCTGCCGTGAGCCATCACTTCCTCCTCAACATGAACGCTTTTACCTTTGTAGGAGGAAGCCTGTCTCTACACACAGCAGGGTTTTCTTGGATTTCCAGGGATTTAACCTTCCTTACAGCTTCCTTTCTGAAGGAACAGAGAGCCATTTGCCTTTTCTGTGTTTTTTCACTTGGCCTCTGAAATTGGTGTTAGAGGTTTGTGGGAGGGAGGTTGTGAATTCTTGAGGGGAAGGAAAGAAAGGAGCAGATGAGGGAGGGGATGCTTTTTGACAGCAGCAGGGAGAGACAGGAGGAGCTGTCCTTCCCATCCCGTCCAGCAGTAAAGACAAAGGTCCACCAGGTGCTAGATGCTGTTCTCCAGGTGGGGAAACAGCAGCACCAAGATGGGTGGCCTCTGCCACAGAGGCTTACATTCCGTGGGGAGACAGACAGGAAATAAATACACACACAAGCACATCATGCAGTAACAGGTATGATAACAGCTGTGAAGAAAAATAAAGCAGAGAGAGGTGGGAGGCTGATCGAGGAGAGGCAGCCTCTGAGTGGCAGGCTGAGGATTCACACAAATCCTGATGCTCTGCTTACCTCTTGGTCATCTTGGTCAAGTGTCTTATCATCTGCCACCCTCAGTTTGCTCCCCTAAAAATAGGATGATGGTTCCCAGCTCAGAGAGCTTTTGTGGGACTGAGATGATGCGTGGGAATGTTCCTAGCGTTGTAAGGGCTCAGACAATGCCTGTCTTTCCTTCCCCTTTGGATGTTGAGGCTGAAGCTAGGTTTGTAGGATTGGAGTTCCCACCATCGCCCCTTTGGGCAAGTTTCCCCAGTTCTTTGAGATGATGTAATGATTCCCAGGTTTTCAGGGAGCAGTCTGATCTCACTTTTTCCTGGGTAGGACCTTTGCCAGGAGGAGAGCATGCTAATCTTGTAATAAGTGGCTTTGAAGAATATTAGAAGTCTACTCATTTCTCCTTGTGCTCTGTGCTCCCCTGACGCCAGCCACTGTCTGTCATTGTCACCAGAGGGCTCTGCTGGCAGCCCAGTTTTGCATGGTTTAGTACTAGGCTTTGTCTAGAGCACCCACATCAAACACAAAAAACAAAAATTAGTACAAACAGCTTGTGCATGGGCGCCACACGTGGGTGGCCATGGAGGAGTGGGGGGCAAGAAGCAGGGAGAAAAGCTATGGGCATCCCTCATTGGGCCAATTAGGGTGAAAAGAAACCATCAGCTTCTCATCACTCTAACCCAGTACGGTTTCGCTCTTTTCTCCGGCCTGAAGCCCAGGGCTCTCTAGCAGGTAGGGTATCACCCTCAAAAGGAATGATTCTTCTCTCAACCAGTTTCAGTTGCTAAAATAGAAAAAAGATTTATGAGATAGACCCAAGTCTCCAGGGATCTAAAGTCTGCCCAGGAGCAAAGAGGAACCCTGTTCTGCTGGATCGCAAGAGGTGCCTTGGGTCCAGGAGTACAAACCTAGGAAGCTGTCCAGGTCCAAAGCAACTGGCAGGGTGGGAGCGGGGCTGCACTGAACTGGACATGCTTGCCCTGTTTGAAGGAGGCGGCACCACCCAGCTCCTGCAGGCATGCCAGCCTGGGTGTGCCATGGCTTATTTGACTTTAAGAGAATCCCCAAATCTGGGATTTTATATGAAATTTCCCAATTTTTTGTAAATGCTGATAACTAATTCTCCTTTTAAAAAAATTGTGTGGGCCACACAAAAGGCATCTGCAGGCCTCTGCCGGTTCGCTGCCTCTGCCTTGGGCTTAGTGCACAGTCACAGAGGGGAACGTTAGCAGCGGGGCTGCCAACAGTATAAAGTCAGTCAAGCTGGGCACCTGAGAGCCACTGAAAAAGGAATCCTCACACTGTGTCAGAGTTGGTGTATTCAGTGAGGTGAGTCTCAGTCTGGGCTCAGCCAGGTTGGTTGAAAGCAGTGATCATCAACCTTTTTTTTTTTTTCTGCCTGCAAGCCATTTGCATACAGTCACACAGTGGAATCATAATCGGGGATTCTTGAGGGGCAGGCAGAGGGGAGAATAGATATCCATTGAGGGAAAACTCCAACCGGCTGGCTTTTTTGAGATTCTGATATGCCAGTTTCCCCCATCCCCTGGAAAAAATGTTCAGGAATGCATTTTCAGTCTGAAGCAGATTCAGTCTTTTACTGGGGTCTTTCTGGTCTAGTTACATCCAGAAGTCAGCTTTGTTCTGGGAGAAACGGGGGTGCAGAGAAGGTGCTGAGAGATGGGGAGCAGAGTGAAGGCTGTGCAGACTTGTGTCTGGGCAGGGAGGGCCAGGAACCTGGAGACTGGGCAGCCCTGCCCCCAGTGCGTCCTGAAGGGAGGAGACAATTATGAGTCTGAGAACCCATGGTGCCAGGCCAGGAACTTCTCTGTGGACCTGGTGGAGTGCTCACATCTAGAGCTTTGGGGAGTGATGGGGCCCTGGGCCCCTCTGTTCTTGGCAGAGGAGGGCAAGGCCTGGGCAAGATGAACTTCTCTGAACTTCCTTAGAATAGAGACATTTGAACTGGAAACAGAACCTTCCTGGAGAGCCTTAGACATGGAACTGAAGAATCCTTGAGTCAAGACCTCTGCATGCCCATGCCTTTCCTTTCCCCCTTTTCCTCCCCCACAGGCATGTACCTCCTAAACTTCAAGGATCCCCACAAGACTTGCAACCAGGGGAGCAATGGGCAGTGGCAGCTCGTCCCAGGCTAACCCCCTGAACCTGTCTCCAAGGCCGCTTTCCTCTGACTCCTCCAGGAGCCAAAGCAGCCCCGCCCAGGCTCTCCTGTTGCCTCTGCAGTCCTCAGCCCTTGCTTGTCTCACTGCCCCCAGCTTTCATAAACACACTCTCAAAAAAAACAAGATCAACCTGGCGCTGGGCAAACTCAAGATAGCTGCACCAGACCCCGGTTCCTTTTACCCACGGGGAGGAGTGAGACTCCCATGACTGGCTAGAAATATGCATTTGTTACACGTTGTCTGTGGTTTTTCCTAAACCTGCCTGTCCAGAAACTGGTCAGGCGCCGGAGGTACAAACCGTAGGAAGGGTTCTCTGTGTGCTGTTCTCTGACCACAGAGTGTGACTGCAGTGCTGCTCTGAGGCAGCCCTGCCGAACCCCCAGGCCAGAGGGTCAGGCCCTGTGTCACTAGTC